GAGAGAGAGAGAGAGAGAGAGAGAGAGAGAGAGAGAGAGAGAGAGAGAGAGAGCAGATCCCCTTAACATGGCTCAGACGGCCCATGCAGGCTATCTGAAGGGTCTTGGCAGATATGTAGCGCAGACCCTCCCACCAAAATCAAGGCAGGCAGTGAATATGAAATAAAGCACGAGCTGGCCGAATATATACTCAAGATTCGAATTCAGGTCTGTGTTTCAGCAGTTATGGGTTGCTCACGTAGCTAGGGCCTGTTGGTCTCTGCACGTGACTCTTAGGGCTTGGCTGCACTACTCACGAAATGTGCAAAATTAGAATGAATCTTCTGCAGAATGTGGAATAATACGCCACCATATGTTTTGTCTTTTATGCATTCGGTGAGTAAAGGCCCTTAGGGCCACTGCACGTATTCCTAGGAAAAGAAAAACGAAAAAAGACAAGAAAAGCGAGAAAACAGAGAAATGGTGACCCATAACCGACATGCACAGACCTGAATTTGAATCCAGGCTATATATTCTCTGCCCACCCTCAAGTAGTACAAGTTAGAAGTGTATCTGTGCTTGCCGTTGGATCCTGGCTAATATGCTGAAGGAATCCTTCCGAAAAGAGGCTGGAAACAACGAGGACAATTTTGTTTTTCTGTTTTTTTAATGAGCCGCATCACTTGTTCGTGCGTGCGGCACCCCGCGCATGAGATACGCTGCAAGTATGATTCGAACACATCTTTCTCTCTCTCTCTCTCTCTCTCTCTCTCTCTCTCTCTCTCTCTCTCTCTCTCTCTCTCTCACACACACACACACACACACACACACCCACAAAGGGGGTCGGAAATCCCCCGACAGGTGACTGCGCTGGGGGGGCCCGGCCCCCAACCGGGTGCCCTGCCTGGCCAGGCCGCCCGGGACCTCCCCCGGGCCCCTGCCGGTCACCCGGGCGGCCCGGATCCCCACTCAGTTTTCTAGACCTTTTTTCGAAACCTTTTTTTTTTTTTTTTTTTTTTTCAGGAATTTGTATATTAAGAGGCTAGTAAGAGCAGGAAAAAACGTATTGAAACCCTGAGTTTCGGCAATCAAACTCTATCCATGTTTTTGCCTATATTCCACCCTCCCGCTGTCACACCCTGCATCTACCTCTGTCTCCTCGTTCTTCCCTCCTCCTTTCTGCTCGTTGCTTTAGTGAAAATCCTACGACCACCACCTCTCCTCCTCCCCCTCCTCCTCCTCCTTCTCTGTCTCCTTCTCCTTCTCCTCTATTCCTGTTTGTTGGTACAGATGATGACTGCCATCCGGACGTCCTGACCATTGCCTGGATGGTCTGCCATCCGTGGTCCAGAAGCCGGCATTGTTCTGACTGGCTGTGTGTGGGCTGTTCCTCTGCGGCTCCATCGGTATTTGTTGTTGATGTCAGGTGGAATGTCGGTGGCAAGCGTCTTTATAAACAAGGCAATATTTAAGGTGTACAATTTTCGTTACCCCTTCACATTGGTTTTGGGCCAGACCATCTTTACGTTAGTGCTCTTGATTGCCATGCGAAATCTTCGGCTCATTCGCACTTCCAAGTTTCAGTTTTCTGTCTTCAAGCGGGTACGGGCGGGTTCTCATCCTTTTTTTTTCTTTTTTTTGGCCCTAGTTTTTTGTCTTGTTTTCTTGTCTTTGGGCTCAGGTTTATTGCTTTTTCTTGGTATTCTGCCCCAAGCGGCTCCATTGGTATTTGTTGTTGATGTCATCAGGTCAAAAGTGGGTTTTGAGTCTTTTGACGTGTGGTGAGAGAGGTGCAACATGCTTAGTTGCTTTTGATTGGCAGTGAAGGAGAGGCACTGCTTGGG